GAGAACAACCGCTGGATGAAGGAGTACCGATCTGTTGACTGGCTGAAGAGCGCACTCAAAGCCAGGCCTCCGCCCAAATACGTCCAAGGAGATATTGAGGGATTAGACGACGACTTGGCGGCGGACAAGAAGGAGGAGCCGAAGGTTTCCAATGAGGAGCTGGAAAAGGAGTTCAAGTCCCTTCTTGACGAAGCTACTACATTGTCTTCCAACTGCAAAAACACGAAGGCGGGAATGCTGGAGTTTGAAAAGGATGACGACGATAACTTTCAGATCGATTTCATCGCCGCGTGTAGCAATCTGAGGGCGTCCAACTATGAAATCACGACCGCCGATCGGATGAAGGTGAAGCTGGTTGCAGGCAAGATTATTCCCGCCATCGCGACGACGACATCCGTGGTTACCGGACTAGTTCTTCTCGAGCTATTCAAGGTGCTCCAGAATAAGGATGTGAGCGCGCTGAGGAACGGCATGATCGACGTTGGAACCAACAACTACGTGCTGTTCGAGCGAGACGAGCCCAACAAGTTCCGCACAAAGATCGAAAAGACCTACATGCCGGAGCAAGACTACACGTACAAGAAGAAGATCATCCGCGTCCCCGAGGGATTCACAAAGTACGACTCGATCGACATTCCAGTCACCCCTTCCACCTCTGTCGAAGAGTTTGGAGAAGCACTCGTAAAGAAGCTGAACTCCTTCTTGCCACCTGACGCCGAAGCAAAATACGAAGTGGACGGCATCGGTGTGGGAACGGGCGTCATCTGGAACGGTAGCAAGAAGCACGCAAACACCACCAAGTCCTTGATGCACGTGATCGAGCAGCAGAAGATTGCGGAAACGGGCGGCAAGGGCCTGCCTCGTCCCTTCTGGGAAGGAAGAATTCAGTTCTGCGATCTTTCCGTCATTGTCTCCATCGAGGATGACGACGATGTGGATGAAGTGGATGTTGAGACCGCCATGATCCGCCTCGTAATCGGTAAGGATTAATGTAAAATGGGCTTTTACCGAAAGGTGTTTGTATGTCAAAAAGAAAAACAAGAGTGATCAACGCTCTCCTGTAATTTGTGTCATTTATCTAGGTTTGTTTCTCTCCTTTATTATTATTTTGTCGCCGATGTCAATGCATGCATCGATACTTATTTCAGAGACCTCTCATTTTTTATTGAACATGACAATACGAACAAAGATTTGGTTGTGAGAAAGAAAAATTGTATCTACGCGCGGCGTCCCAGAAGAAGAAAAAGACTATCCAGGCGTTTACTCCCTTTCTCTCTAAAGTTCTAAATAGAATCCTATACAGCTAGCGCTTTCCACAAAAGCAACCAAGACTATCGAAAATGAGCATTCGCCACAATGTACACTCTGCGTTCAAAAGTGTATACAACAAGTACTGGAGAGACTCCTCCTCGGCCACCACTTCCAGTTTTCAAGACAGCGGAAAGCTAACCTTAGAGGAATTCATCACCGCCGGAGACAACCTCATTGAGCTGTGTCCGGCCTGGAAGTGGGTCCAGGGTACGAACTCGAAGGACAAAGCCAACAATAGGTGCTTGGTGTTGGAGAATATAGTATGCGCTGCGCGAGCCAGCGCGGTGGCAAATACTGTGCGGGCCAAAAAAGTGCGTATACCAAATGGCGAAGAAGGTGATGATGGAGAGGAGTTCGAAGAGATTACGTTTGCCGTAGAGGAAGGCAACCAGGAGAAAGATGATCATGAAAGTGAAGACGACGAAGATTTCAAACCGCCAGAATCGGGACCGGACAGCGCGGTACGATACTACGACCTTTCCATTTGCTACGATCCTTACTACCGGACGCCACAATTCTTCTTTAGTCCTTCCTACAAGTTCTACAGCAGTCCGGATCGCCACAATACCAGTGTGAAGATGCTGGAACGAGAAGAAATGCTGCAGGACGTGAATATCATAAATAAAAACAATACGGTCACGATTGATAAACATCCGCTCAAGTTCCCTGAAGGAGTACTGAATTATCAAAGATGTATTGGTATTCACAATTGCCGTCACGCGGAACGAATGAAGTCGGAACTGGAGTACATGCGTCGCAAAAAACTACTACTCATGTCCCAGAGCAATGCGGGCGGCAATGAAGTCGATTCCGGAAGGCGGCTGGAGTTCCCCACACACTTATCCCTCATTTTGTTTTTGAAAATGATCTCCACCGCTGTTCCCACGATTCAATACGACGTTGTTTCGTGCGACTTTGAATTGGTGTAGTTGTGGCACTCCCGCCCCCGCTCCCTTTCCCAGTTTTCGCTGACACCACCGAAAAGAAAAGTGCGCTGGTTTGTTTACGCGGTTGAATCGCTATAAAAAAGAAAAGGAAATACGCAAGTTGTTATTTGGTTTAGTTTGCCTATTCACGTTGTTCTGATTGATACGCCCCTCCTTTTCTTTCTGTGCGTTTCGTTGTGGTTCCTGTTCCGCTGGATGCCTGCCGGAACTTTCCTTTTATATCTTTCTGTCTCTCTTTCCTCTCTTGTACAACGGCTGCCACTCGCTAACAAGATCACAAAACATAATGAAACACTTTACAAGAAACGTATTAATTGGCGGGGGAATAGGCTGTGGCTGTTTGGTTGGTGGATCCTATTTCTTTTACGCCAACTACAATAACAAGAAAAATACCCAAAACGC